GGCTAATTTCTTTCTATTTTCAGTAGAGACGAAGTCTCGCTCTTGCTCAGGCTGGTCTTGAACTCCTGAGCTCAAGCGATCCTCCCGCCTCGGCCTCCCAGAATGCTAGGATTACAGGCGTGAGCCACCGCGCCTGGCCCAAATGCAATGATTTTTATTAAAAGTCTCTTATATCCTTGACCATAAATATCTGCTGGATAGGAAAAACGTCAATGTGTACTAGTAGCTAACATCTCCTGCAATGGTGTCACTCTGCCTCCATGTCTCCAATTTAAATACACTCGATCAATATGCAGACTACTTTGTCACTCATCAAATTATAACTGCATGAGGAGGCCAGCTGCTACCAGACACACCTTAAAACCTTTGGAAGCAGCAATATGGGCAGCAGTCCAGCCTTCTCTGTCAGCATGGTTAATGAGGTCTGCAGGAACGATAGGCTTGGATCCACCTTCAGAACTCTCTTCTCCTTCATCCAAGTCAGAGACATCTGACTCGGGCTCCTCCTCATTCAAACAGTTCCCACGAGCTCGTACTCTGTGGTACATCAGAAGCTTGAGGCTGTCCACATTACCAGTGTCCACAGCTGCATGAACTGGTGTCCAGCCATCCTGAAAATAAAATGACCAGGGGGAAAGGTTTGATAACAACAGTACTGTTGAGAACAGTGTTATTGCAAGTTCATCTTTAAAATGTTCCTGGGCATGGACCACTGGGCTGGGAAAAGCGGGCATTCCAATCCTGAATATCACTGATGAGTTCAGTGTAGTTCTCTGGCCTCTGTCAGTTACAATATTTCCCCCTGCTATGACTCATTTTGGCTATTTTGTAATCATTTCCACATGCCAGTTAACCATTTGGAGTGAACAGGTACTTCCCTGGCCCATAACTGAACATTATGTACAGTAAACCAGAATCTCAATTTAATACCAAGAAAGAAAACAAACTTTAGCCTAAAGAGATTTTTTTCAAAAAAATTTATTTCCAAGAATAATGTTATTGGCAAAGTAGTAAAAGAATACTTTTATAAGCCAGTTTTACTTATAAGGCAGTGTCCTAATTCTAGTGATTTTAACATTTTATGCCAACCATTCTGGAAGGAAAGATCCAGAATAGGGAAAAGGTAGACATGCAGGAAAAAACAAAGCCAAATAATTTCACTGGCTGTCTATGGGCCTCTATTGAGTGTTCTGTGATTGCGGAAGGTTACTGATCATTATAAGCTTAGAAAATGAGCCAACCAAAATTACTCGGTCCCTCTTTTATAACATATTACTTTGAAGCCTCTATCACTCACTCAGTTGGCTGCTAGAGTGGACACAGAACTCATTTTTAGGGCAGTGGTTCTCAGGTGTGGCCCCCAGACTGGCAGCATCAGTATTGCCTGGGAACTGGTTAGAAATACAAATTCTTAAGCCTCACCTCAGATCTACTGAATCAGAAACTCTGGAGGTGGGGTCCACCAATCTGTTTTAACAAGCCCTCCAGGTGATTCTGATGCACTAAAGTTTGACAAACACTATTCTAGGGAAAATCTTGGTTCTATCTATAGTCTTTCATTATTACATAGAGATGGGTCTGCCTTCTCATTGCTATACTAAATATACTTCAGTGAGCTATGCAGGGGTCCCCAACCTATGGTGACTTGTATAATTATTTCATTATACATTACAATGTAATAATAATAAAGTGCATGATAAATGTAATGTGCTTGAATCATCCCGAAACTATCCACCACCACCCCCAGTCCGTGGAAAAATTGTCTTTCATTAAAATGGTCCCTGGTGCCAAAAAGGTTGGAGACTGCTGAGCTATAGCACACTTTTTTTTTCTTTTAAGTAATGGGGTAGAAGACAGAGAAAGAGGCAATAATAAATGGGAACAATATAAAATTAGGCTGTAAGTCATCTGATCACTTGCTAAAGCTGTCCCTTTAGGATGTTGCTTTTCCTCTGGTTCTGTACCTCGTACCAATAAAGTCTACTTGGCTAACACAAGACCGTGGCTGGGCAGTAACTGGAATAGTGAGTGTAGTCCTGGTGCTGCAATCAGGTAAAGCTGTCTCATGGTTTGTCCTTTGCCATGTTGTAGACACCTTTTCTTGAGTAGCAGCCTCATACAGGCACAGAGTATAATGCCTTTGACCTTGCCTAATTTATGCTACAAAGGTCATGTGGCCATTCCTGAAAAAAACTTTCAGTTTCTTAATCTCCTTTGATACTTTCTTATTAAAAGGCACAAGACATAATTATTCCCTTAAGATTCTATTGTATTGTTTATCTCTAGACTTTTAAGCATCTATACTTCCAAAGATTTCATTCCACTCATCAACTAGCTTGAGAGGATAGACTTGTGTGTACTCTAACTTAGGATGTGACTTAAATTTTTGTGATGTCCTACTTATTTCTCTTCAGCTTGGTGATACAAAATTCATTTATTTTTCATCTATAAGGCAGAATTTTACAATGAATATGGGTAACACCACAGATTACTTAGATAAAATATATAACATGAAGAAATGCAAAACTAAACTGTTTTCTCAGATTTTCAAAAAATAAGTGGGAAAAGCCCAAAATAAATAATGGAAAAGATTTTTTTTAGAAAACAAAAGCCCTATTAATAAGAGTCAATAGAAAAATGTTCATACCTAGTTTATTATATTCCTACCTATATCATTAATTAAACT